TCAAGACTATCCCAACAAGGGACCGTTCTCATCAACACTTCAAGCGTGGCTATTCATGTCTTCTAGCGCTCACTGTCTTCAATATCTTCAAGCTACGATATCCCTTCAAGCCTATCTTCTCAGAATTAAGCCTCCTTCAGGAGCTGCCGTGCTCCCTCGGGCCTCAACTTAAAAATCCTCCTTCTGGTGTTCACGAACGTCGACGAAGTTTCTGCGACATCTGTTCATACCCCTGGTGTACTTCAAGCAGTTGATACCGCTCTGTTCCCTGTAGTACTTTTTTAGATCTTGCTAATATATGTTTTTATTCTGATTCTTCATGATTGGCGTAGTCGGATAAGCAAAAGAACACAATGGATACCTTTGAAAGTGCCGTGGTGGCGAAGAAACCTTCCTCAATTTCACCAAGCTTATTTCCTTTACAAAGAAAATAGTTGCCTTATAACCAGTGGTGAATTTCTTCAGGCTTCCAAGCCTTGCGATCCTTGTGACCCTTACAAGGCCTTACTTCCGCTTGTAGGTTTCTCCCGGTTTTCATGATGATTGCATCAAATCTGGGACACTGTTCTATCTGTCTCAAAAGTTCCCTCAACTCGCCTCCGTTTCTTTTTTTGTTGCACACTTGCTGAAATTAATTTCACTACATGGGCCCAATGCGGCCGACTTTATTTTTGTTTCCCACTAGTTGTGGCTTCGAATTCGGCTTCCTCGCATACACGTAGTCATACGGCTCCTATAGCTAGCAAATGACCCTCTGAGATCAGCTTGTTCTCCGCCTTTCCTCCACACATAACGATCCCCCTGGATATAGTAGCTGCTCTTCCTTGACTCCTCCCGTTACCCAGCCTACCATGTCTGCCACTCCCAGCAAAGAACTGCACTCAATAATCGGAATATACAAGGCACCGGCTGGTGTTTCGAGGAAGGAATTCGATGCACATATGCAGAGGCTCATGGCACCACTTGCTCTTGTCCCCGTTGTGAAGAAGCTTCGTGATCTCAATGTGGTGAGCGTAGATGTAATCGTTCTCCCTTGGTTTGTGGCCGAAGCGTGCCTCCTTGGCCGGACAGATATACCAGAACGACGAGATGACGGAGTCCATTCAGGGTTTGGGAATGCCGCCAGCGCCGGCCACCGTCCTGGTTACAGCGTCCTCGAAGGTGAATTCTCTCTTCCTCGAGATACTCTAATCAGGATGATTCACATATATACTTGCAGAACAGAGAAGACATGGTGGAGGTATGCACCTTCCTTCATCAACTGCAGAAATATTGATCTTGGCCTCAGTATTTCCGAGATCCCGAGGTGGTTCGTCTCATCCATGGCGCCGAAAACTTCGGCCTTCAAGCAGGATCCTGTGCTTTCACTGCAGATCTCACCGTGGAGATCGACAAGCCTACCGAGAAAGCCCGCGCGCACGGGGTATTAATCTTCAAGATCCCGGCTCATTTGTCGGAGGAACAATACCATAAAAAAATCGACGCAATGATCGATGACTTCCTCTCTGTTCCTGTAGCACAAAAACATCTCGTGAAGCACTCCAAGGTATGACTGCTGTTCTCGTTTAAATGCGTGATGTATTGTAAATGCATTCAGTGGGTACAAAACGACAGTTTTGTGGACGAACTCAAACGCTGGAAATACCCCGACGCGGAGCGCGTTGTCGTTCTAATGCTCGAGTGCGATGTAAGTGGCCAACTCATTCTGACCATGGCAGTCATCAATTCCTTGCTTCTCGTCAGGATTTTGATTCCATGAAAGAGGTATATAATCTTTTCATCTGCAAGGACCTTTCATTGATCAATATTTTTTCCAGATTCTAACGCACGAGCAAATTCAAAAGGTCATTGCGGGTGGAAAGGAAGATTTGGACCTCCACATCGACAGTAACTGCTTCTCGGCTGATGTTGTTAATTTAATCTAGTCATCGCTGTCTTTTATGCGCTGTTTCAACCAGTTTTGTATATGCGTTCCGCGAGTATTAGTATATACTGCTTTCCAATTACAGTCCTATTCCCATCCAAGTCAAACATTTCTTTCCGTCAAAGCGTTCTTGTCGGATAAAGCATTAATATTGTAGTCGCCAGGGCGACATATCTCGTTGGACGTGCTTCTTGACCTATAAGACACTGCATGCATTTGCTTTCACCTTTGGGAGGCTGTGCTACCGCGCGCATTGCATATCCCAATATGCTTCAAGGATGTCGGCGAGGAGACGGTTATGCTGGATTCCTCGCTTGTCCAGCTCTTTGACCTCGCAGTACCTCACGTTGTCGCCATGCTAGGCGTTATGGATTCTTCCAACGACATCATCAAAAGCTACATCGATTATTTCAGCCAGCCTCGGACTCGAATCATGGTACATCGTGAACAATGGAATGGCTGCTCGAGAATGACAAAATTGCGCTCAATCCGGCTCTCGAAGCAGTGCTCGAACCCGCTCAGCAGAACATAATCAACCACCAGGATCTGGAAGACTGGATCACATTCAGCTGGATGAGCGGTCAGTGGCGGGGCCAGGCACGTTGCTACTGAAGCTTCTGGCTGTTCAGCATAATCTGGGTGAAGAACTCGACCTGAATACTCTCACGATTGAGGGCAGGCCTGTTAGTTCCGACTACGCAATATTGGAGGATGTGTTCAAACTCCGCCATTCTGTATACGGCACTGCGAAGGACGTAACTTTCTTCGAGAAAGTGGATGGGTCATCTGTATCGCTTCCACCACGTCGAATTCGACTCAAACTCAATGGGAGGACAATCTTGACTGCGAAAGATCTACCGTCTGGGGCGAAGAGAAAGCGACTGGTCACGGAAACGGACAGGGACCGGCAATCAGGAAAGCGGAGGGGTAATGACACGCCAGCAGCGCCCCCTCGGAGAAGCTCGCGTAACGCAACCAAGCAGGACCGTAGGACTTGGTGTTGCACCCCGAACGTGACTTGAAATCTAGTACCCCATTTCGACCTAGCTACCAATTTCCTCTCAATACGATGGTGGTTAATTTCTGTCACAGCCAGAAGCACAGAAGTGCAACGAAAGCTTTGAATTAAATGTTGCAGACAAGAATTTTTACTAAAGACTCGGGTAAGCCAGCGCCGTCACTGAATCACACAACATGAACAATAGGGGCGAGGACCAGAGACTTGTGTGAGATCAGGAAATATGCATTGGAGTTGCATTGGAAGTAATCGCACTCACGTGTGGGTCCTTGAGGATACTGAAAGCCATAAGCGCCGATGTGCGAAGTTGCAAAACAGCAGCGGCGGATGATTTACAGTGGATAAGAGGGTTGCTTGATCACTGACAGGGTGGTAGGTGCTCGCTTAGTCGCATTCAAACAGATTAAAGAGGTTAATAGAGTGCCCTGCGGCACTCAAATGGGTTGTTGCAACCCATTTTCTGCGGCAGCGTGACGGTGCGGCAGTGTGACAAAGTGGCCGCAGACGCTGCGGCAAGGAAAGCCCTTAATCGTCCCCATCATTTGGTCGTGTTTGGTCTCGGCACGTCCGCACCCTGGGGGAGGTCCCCCAGACCGCCCTTTTCGCTAGCGTTGCCTCTTCCGTTGGCACGGGGCCTTTTCCTGCTGGCGCAGGGGCCTTTTTTATTCTAGTCCGGTACACAGTAGATTCTTTATATTGCCTTATTGCTTATTTTTGAGGAGTTGATTCGGCGGCCGGTGCCGGGCCGGCTGGGGGTTACCCCCAAAACCCCTACGCTGCGCTGGGCCTGTGCGCTCGCCGCTGGGCCCACTGCGTGGCGCATGCGCTCGCCGCGTGGCCCACTGCGTGGGGGGAATGAAATTTTAAGAAAAAAAAGGCAACAGCTGATGATCGAACTAGAGACCGCAAGCAAGAAAATTGCATAATGGTGAGCACGTCGCTCATGGAATCGGAGACCACTTCTCCAAACAACTTGTTCAGGGCGCCATTCCTACAGAGTCTAGTCAGGGCCTTTAGAATTGATAGGGACGACTAAGAGCAATCTACCGTTACGTGCGGCAGTGCTGCGGCAGTCTGCGGCAGTAGCGGCACTTTCACCGTGCCCCCGTGGATTTCAGCCACGAACTTGAGATCCATTTATTCTGGATTCGACGCGAGATGTGGAGAATCTGGTTGGAGTCGTGTATTAGTTTGAGTTTTATTGAAACTTGAAGCTTAAGTTTGAAAGTTTAGCCTTCAAACTTTGTGATCGCAGGTCAAAAAATCCTACCTGGTATTCGAGTTAAATATCGGTTCAATGGTGCACGGTGCATGCCTGCTAAGTTTATGTCGGTCATCCACATCGGCAGGAGGCGCCCGTTCGACTCGGGCCTACACCATAGGCATGATATGTTTCATTTTTTTCGCTCTACGCGGAGTTGACGCCTCTCGTAGTGAGACTATCAGTAAATTGTTTATTATGAAGGGCACATAGTACAAATATCTTTTAACTTTGCGTCTGTCCTCCAGTTAATAACCATCCCAATCAAATTCTTCGGAACGCCTGAAACTTAAAGAGTCTGAATCCGCAGGATCAAGATTATTAGATCTTGGTTTAATGCTGTACCGCCTGCTAAATATAACTTGCGTTCTATAAGCATCTGCATTTGCTGAGGTACCAAAAAAGTCTCAAATTTGAAGGGCCTAAGTGGTCCGTTGGAATCCCACCCCATATCGTATTATCGAGACTCTAATGGTGCATGGTGCACGTCTGCCAAACTTCCCGTCGTTCTGTGCCATCAGTGTGTGCAGGAGGCACCCGTTCGACATGGGCTTGGACTATTATGTATCAAAGATAATTTTTTCTCCCCGTTTCTTTTGTCTCCTTTTCTTCCGTGAAAATTTCATAACCAGAACACGTTTGCCAGATGAGATTGAAAAAAAATCTCACGGCCGACGGATGCCTGCTGAGAATGATTATGACTGGTACGTACCACATTTGGAGGATCAAAATTCTTCCGAGTGGGGGCTGGTTAGAAAGTCCCAACCCATATCGGAGTCTCAGACTTGTTAGATATTGGTTCAATGGTGCATTGGTGCACGCCTTTGAATAATATCCGCTTATTCGAATCAGCAAGAAGCGCCCGTTCGACTCGGGCTTGGACCATTCAATGGAGGGATGTTTCTATTTTTTCGTGTTTGAATCATCTGGCTGGGGAGCATCCTTATAATACTTTAGAGCATCCGTGTAACACTCATTTTACTCCCCTCAATTTCAACCACGGAGGAGGGCTACAAGGATATCCGAGTACCAAGATTATTGGGTGTCGGTTCCAGTGCACGTCAGCTAAAATAAGGGCTGTCGTTCCTACATCTGTACCAGCAGGACACCGAAAAATGGGGATAATTTTTGACCTTGTAGAAATATTGACAAACCGAGCTTATCGGCTTATCGGCGGCTCTTGGTCACCTTTTTGGCCTTTTTTGGGCTTGTGCAAGGTCACAAGTAAAATGCCAAAAGTCTCATGGGGACTAGTACTCGCTTCGACTGTAGTAGGTGCATTTGGCGAGCTACCATGGGGTCCTAGAGGGTAAAATCTTTCGTTGTAGCGTGAGGTTGCTTGCCCGGTGCGGGTAGGTTGACTAGTTATTATGATTTAAACTTGGTGATTAACTTAAGCAGCCAAGCTACACTGCAGTTCTAAGTCACGCAAATCCGTTTTAAGAAGGGCACAAGGTGAGATTCGGATATAACAGAGGGAGTATCTGGAATTTACCCGTACTTGTTTGAGAGGTAAAAGCAAATGCATAAATGCAGGGTAAATCTTCCAGGAACATGGCTAATATGGCCATCATTTATACTCGTCCAGGCCTCACAACCCCAGCAAACAAACTTGAATTGACCGTGCAAGCATAAGTTAAAATATCCACCCGTGAGAAAAGTCAAAGCCCCGAAAGTGCGACCCGGTTAAAATGGCATGTAAAGTAATGTTCCGTTCACTTGTTACAGAATTTCAACAAAGAATTCAAGCGAGTGAATGGATGACTGAACAAATCTATCCACCTAGGTGACCAGATTTTTGGGTATCGGTCCAATGGTGCGCCACGCCTGCTAAAATTTCGTGCGTTCTCCACGCCAGGTGTGTATTAGCAGGAGGCGCCCGTTCGAGTCGGGCCTGGACTATCGGTGGCATTGAGATTTTTTTCCCCCTCACTTCTGGTGGCGCTTTATGTGGTGATGAGAGTATCAGTGTATCAATTAATATGCAAAGCATATAAAACGAAGAGTTTTTATTTTTGTGGACTCGAGAACGCCAGTTACGACAAAGAGTGTAAAATTCGGCGTGGATGACTCTAAAAATAATCCTGGGCTCGCTTATTGTCCGGTAGAAAATGGCGAAGACCTTAACGCCACTCGAGGATTATATGCGCGAAAGGAAAAAAAAAAAGATTGGCTGATATTGGTCATGGTGGCCGAGAGAAGCCGCAATCACACGACATGTCGATGCCAAACTCGCCCAAACTTAGCCCTTCATCTCCTCTACGACGACATGTCTGGTACTTTCATACTCGCTGGATGGGTTTAGTCTTGATTTCAATTTTTTGGGATTTTTGTCGCTACTCCCCGCGCCAGGCCGCGCATCTCGTCGTAACCCTCATACCCGCGGTGCACGCCAGCGTCTCGTCTCGCACTCTCTTTCTCACTTGTCTCCATGGCACGTATGTTGCCTTGTTCTTCCTCATCTAACCACCCTCCAGATCTTCCTCTTCGATGACGTTTCTTGGTAATCCCCTAGTCAAAAGCGCGTCCGATCTTCATCGCCTTCCGCTCCGCCTCAGACCCCACACATTACCGCCGCGCCTGTCATTTTCATATTCTCCCCCTCATGTGTCCCGGTCTCGTGCGTCTTCGTCCTAGTACCAGCGCGTATTGCCCCCCACTACGTCAGTCATGACGACAGACTTCTACTTGCTATGCATGTGGGTATATCTCCCTACTCTCTCGTCCGAGCGTCATCCGCAGGCATCACCCGGTACTCTGAGTCCTTGCGGGACAAGGCACGTCAGTGCTGTGCCCGACTTTCCCACCCGCCTCTCGCACCGCCCGCCACACCTCGCCCGCGTAAAGCTCTCATCCCCCGTAAACGCGAACGACCGCCGCACCCGCCGTCCCAGTACAGACTCTCCGGCCCCAATCTTACCTGCTACACTCGCAACCTGTGCTTCCCGTCCCGCCTGCCCCTCACCGCATTCGCTCGCCTCCCGAACCCATTCCAAACGAGAACGATCACGACGCGGCCGAGTACTACCGGTACCTCTAGATCTACCCCGCCTCCGCGTCGACTCCCCAGCGCCTGTCCTCCGGATTCGTGGGGGCGTGTGGCGGCGCGAATCATGTTCTTCGCGTGTAGTCTCCCATGCTACCCGCCCATTGCTGGTGCTATTTCAACCACCCTCACACGCTTAACTCGGGTGGCGGCTCCGCAGATCTCGACTGGCTCACTCGCTCCCCGTAGCCCGGCTTCTACAATATTAATCGTACCACAGCACCCCAGGTGCTCCGCGCCTCCCCTTCAGTCTCACCACGCGGGCGGTGTCGACTGCTTGACGACACCGCGCATTACTCGGGGTGCGCGCGCCGTTGTGCATCTCGCTCTTCGCAGCCGAGGGAGTAAGCGAGACGAACTGTTGGTGCGCGCGCCGAGGGGAGCCTTGTCGTACTGCGCACGCTGCATACAATCGGGCTGCGGAGCCTCACTCTCACCAGGGGAGAGGCGCTTACTCTGCTTGACGACACCGTGTGCGTATTTGCGTCCCGCTGGCTTTATATATGCCGCCCGCTGTATCGGCCCACTATGTATCGCATCTTCGTTGTTCCTCCCCTCGCCGCAGGTGCCGCGTGTGATCGTACCACGCGCCCTCGCTACATACGCTCGGGGTGTGCACCAATCACTGCAGAATGTCCAGTGTCCTAGCGGTGCCCCGCTGGTTTTGAACTCTGCGCGCTACCGCTCGCTCACTACTACTCCACGACAGCTACATCCCCGCCCCGAAAGCGTTGCTCCTCAGCTGCTGGCGCGGAGCCTCATCGTGCAGTGCACCCTGCATACAATCGGGGGGCGCGCGAATCACCATGCGGCCGCAGATCTCCGCTAGCCGCGTGTTTTCAGGCGGCCGCGTATCTCCGCCCGCTTCGCCTTGTACCACCCCCCATACTGGAGCAGCCTCCGATCAGAATCGGCACGCCGGTGTGGCTTATCCTCCCTGCATCCTTCGGCGGCGCGCTAATCATCGCACGCAGTCGCAGTGAGTTCCTCCGTCAGCGGACCTTCCTTCTTACTTGGCGTGGTAGAACGACCCTACTTTGTGCGTCTCTTAGAATGCGATTATGTCTCTGGACCTAACCTTTAAATACTAAAACGCCCGCTGTGACTTGAGGTTCATTTTGGATTCAGACATGGAGAAGCGGGTTGATTACTTTGGTGAAACTTGAAGATTGGTTAGAAAATCCTACCCCGTATCCGAGTACCAAAGCTTATTAGATATGGGTTCAATGGTGTATTGGTGCACGCCTGCAGAATATAACACCCCCTTCCAGCAACTACTGCAGGAGGTGCCCGTTCGACTCGGGCTTGGACCATTTGCGACGACTCTGTTTTTATTTTATTTTATTTTTTCCTTCGAGATTATATGAGATTGAGCGGAGCCGAAATTGTGCACTGCGGGTCCAGGTGAGACCTGTGAATGGATGCCTGCTCCCGCTGAACATAATTATGTATACACTGCCGCAGCGCTGTGCATACCACATTTGAAGGATCAAACTTCATCCGAGTGAGGGCTGGTTGGAAAATGCCATTCCATATCGGAGTATCAAGGATACCAGAAATCGGTTCATACGGTGCATTGGTGCACGCCTGCGAGCGAGATCTGATGCCACATAAATTTAGTGCAGGAGGCGTCCGTTCGACTCGGACTTGAACTCTGGGTATGTTGAGCAGTCGTTTTTTGTTATCAACCTGTCAGTGTTTTAACAAATATAGTACGAAGTTCGTGTCTATCGCCAATTCTAGCTCGCTCCTGATTTGTTGAACCATGACGTCGGCTGGTTCGATTCTTTCTTTTCGCCTCTGCATGTTGTTGAATCAGCTTGTACTGAGAATACTTATTATACCGTTACATGAGTCCAATTTCTTTTAGCTGTGCGGGTCCAGTTAACTTCAACCAAAGCGAATTTGGATAACAAATCCATCCATCCAGGAATCAGGATCAGTAGCTATTGGTTCAATGGTGCAATGGTGGACGCCTGTTCAATTTCAGTACTCATTTCTATCCGCTGTATGAGCAAGAGGCGCCCGTTCGACTCGGGCTTAGTCCATGAGAGTGATGAGTAGTGGGCTTTTTTGTTTTGCCTTTGCCGTGGCACTCCGCATGAATTGGATGAACTGACAGTGGGAATATCAGAAAGGGTGCTCAATTCTTAGCCCGTGGGCTCATCCCGTGGATTTATTTGTTCCAAACAAATAGAATACTAAGTATATTTGAAGGATCAAAATTCATTCGAGTGGGGGCTGGTTGTAAAATGCCACCCCATATCGGTGCATCAAAATGTTCGAAATCATTTCAATGGTGCATTGGTCACCTGATAATACCACATATCACCTCTAGTTGGAGGGAGGTTGATGTGGTGTACCTCCCTCCAATTAGAGGCAGTTTTGGGTTGCCATTGTGCCATGTGGGCGGATCACTGCCATGGCAGGCCCAGGGAGAAAAAATCGATTCTGCCGCCATTTCCACACCATTTTGGGGGGGGGGGGGGGGGCAGGGAAAGTCAGTGACTTTTGTGACTATTTAGGCATTGTACACCTACCACGGCTGCCACCAATACTTTTGGGTGAAAAATAAAAACATAAAAAGTGACCCCCCAAAAAGTCAGTGACTACCCAATGCATCACTTTTCTTACCCCCATGCTGCACCTGCCACGTAAATGTAAGAGGGTCAGTAACCTTTGTGACTGGTTCAAAATGCCACCACTGCCGCCGTTTACAATACCTGGTCAGTAATGATTTTGTGATCCGGCATTCATGCCACACCTGCCACAGGTCTACTGAATTGGGGTCAGTACAGTTTGTGACCCAGTTTATGTGCCATGCTTGCCACAGGTCTACTAAATTGAGGTCAGTACAGCTTGTGACCCAGCTTATGTGCCACACCTGCCATGCATACCCTGGGTGCAGTCAGTCAAGATTGTGACTGGGTTTGAGCTGCCACGCCTGCCATACTACCAAGTGGACTTGTGCGGTTTGTGGTCGACAGTGCCACCACTGCCACACCGACTGCCCCTGCCAGTCTCTCCACCACAGAGCTGCCGCGACTGCCACCAGATCTATGGCCTTGCTGTTGGTGCCACCCCTGCCATACATGCAAGTGGACTTGTCAAAATTTCAGACATCTAGCCATGGCTGCCACACAAAATCTTGGCATTGATATATAAAATACAAGTTGTAGGAATATGTAGATCAATTTTTAAAAAAGGCGCTGTCCAAGTTGAAGGGGTGGGGGAGCATAATCAGTCCGAGTCCGAGTCCGAGTTGGAAAATGATACCAATGCTGCTGCTGCTGCCCCCTTTGGGGACTTGTAGGTGGCAGCATCAGTGTTGGAGCTGTTGGAGCTGTCGTCGTTGTCACCATGTGCCACATTTGAAATGGAGTGCATCCCTACTGGGAGTGCACTTGAGGCGGCTTTCCCCCCTGCTTTCTTCTTGGGCTTGGCCGTGGCAGCAGTGGTGGATGTGGCACAGGTGGCCGGCTTTGTAGCCTTGGTGGCAGACGTGGCAGCCTTCTTTGACTTCTTGGCAGTGGGCACCTCTTCGTTGTCCTGGTCCTCCTCAGCGGCACTCCGCTTCCTCTTAGGCGCTGTGGGCAGCTTTCCACCTTCCCCGCCTTCTTCCCCTTCACTGGGGGCTCATTGTCGGAGTTGGAGTCAGCACCAGAGGACTGGGCATCCTCCTCGTCCTCCGACTCGGACACCTCCACCGCCTTCCCCTTCCCCTTCCCAGTGCTGGTGCCCTTCCCCCTCTTCTTCTCTGCTGCCTTACCACCCAGCTTCCTTGTGTGGCGAAGTACTCCATGGGTTGGTCACCATCTGTTTTTGTGAGATCTGACACCGAGGAAAGTGTCATGGCCACGGTGGATGAGGGTGTGGGGGGGTCATCGGGGATCCAGAAGGTGGGCATATGCACACCATTGCCATAAGAGGCACCAAGATCTCGATGTCGGTGTATTCGCCTTGACGACTGCTACGGGCAGCTTGGGGAGTGGCTGGAGCACAGAAGACGGTGGGATGTGAGTGTGCACCAGGGTCACACTGAGCATGCCATGCCAGGATACAAAGAGAATAAGAGCTGTAATGGGTGCCACCTCTGCCGCTGATGCCTTTCACCACAAGCTTACAGCTATCCCTGTGTCAATTGGTCATTTAAGGTTAACCACACAGTTATTGTCAAGACTGACCAGGAAACAAAAGCCCCTGGTCCTGGAGAGCAGCAGTTGGGGCTTGTAGCAAGCCAGACTGGGCTGCACTGCTTGGTGGTGGTTGATCTGGGGTCCATATGCAGTGGGGGATCATAACAGCTGGCTGACTGGGACATCCTGTGGTGCAAGCAAGAAGGCAAACCACTTTTTTGAACATGTGCCACTTACGAATTCACTGATCTGTGCGGCTGCCACCATTTCCATGACTTGAATGCCACACCTGCCATGCGCTGCCACAGCTGCCAATGCCTGCCATGACCTTGGACAGATTTATTTCTCGCTGGCAGGGGCGACTACATTAACTATTAGTATTCCTTTGGGGCCCATCAAGTCCGGCCATAGAACACCATTGTATCCATTGTCTCCCCCTTGAAGCGGGCCCGGATTCTGGCTGCCTTGCGCTCCTCCTCACACAATTTCAGACCTTCAAGCTCATCCTTGTAGTTTTTGGCTTTATTGAGTGCTACTCTGTACTTATTCGCCAAGGACTTCTCATGTGTTTCATCGGTCTTGTTGGCCCAACACATATGCTGCTGGTGGGTGAGTGCTGGCCCATGTCTGAGTAGATGTTAACTTTGTAGAAAAAACAAAAAGAAATGCACACTTCATTCTGAACTGCTCGTGGGCACAGCGGATACACTCAGTGTGCTCCTCAGTCTGGGCTTCCAACTTAGCAAGATCCTTCCTGGACCTACACCATGTTAGTGTTGTAGAAAGGGAGAAATATCAGTAAATTACTGCTGCATCCGAAACTTAGCCTTCTCTGCAAGCAGCTCCCAATGGCTGAACAGAATGCTTGAATAAGGGTTTGGGTTGCTAAAAAAAACTTACCTCTCCTGGTAGCATGCCTGCACAACCTTGATTGTGGTGGGGGAGAGGGATCTGTTCACGGTCCTCTGCCCATTGTTTTTTTGACAACAAGGACCTATTATTAATATTTATGACTCTGAACATACTGGGAGGCAGCAGAGAGTAGACATACCTGCTCAATTCGATGTTATTGGAGGTCTTAGAAAATTTTGTAGTCGTTATGGTGGTTGAAAGCAAAGTTGATACAGTGCAACATCCAGAAACACAGGTATTACATGCACTTCAAACTACATTTTGCTACACACCTGGGAATCCCGCCATTTTTTACGTAGGGGTGCTTAATGGTATTTACAATAGATTTGCCTCCTCAGAATTTGTCTAGAAATGTAGAAGGAAGTGTGGCACACCATTAATCTGGGAAAGTTGTGTAACGAGTCGGCGATAACATTGAAAAGTCCAACAGAACACCATTCTGTAGACAAAAAAAAAAAAAGCTATGAGGGACCATATTACAAGATGTTCTGCTGGCTCAGAGTTCTGAAAAACTGGTGTGCGGCCTCTCAACAATAATGTTTTGTCCACCCGGACATCGGACCGCGACCCGATTGATGGTGGCATTGGTGGCAACTGACATGAGCGATCATTTTCGGTGTGGTGGCATTCCTGGCAGTTCACCTGGCATCCGTGGCAGAAGCAAAACAATGATATGGCATTGGTAGCAGGTATCAAGAAATATAAGTAGATATGTGGCTAAGATGTTGACTGGAGTTCCTCCATTGTCAAGAACAAGCCAGCACCCATCTTCTACCTCTCCAGACCCTCTGCCTGCTCCCGCTCTGCCTCCTCTGGAGTCAGGGAGTCAAAATACTCCTCCTCCGACTGGAACCGATGCTGAACCCAACGAAACAGGCTGCCCGTGGTGTATTGGGTAAAGAAATACAGGGTTTCTCCCTTGGCAGCGATTGAGATGTTGGAGTGGAAGATCATGGCACTAGGGATGAGGATGGTGGAGCCGGGGGGGAAACTCAATGACCTGTATCAACAAGCTGGAGGCACTTGTTATCAAGTGTCTCTTTGAGTTGACAAAGATGAACCGGTCACAGACTGGTAAGCCTAGTGAAGCTGATCAATTCAAAGCTAACCAGTCTCAAGGGTATAAGCATCGGCGCCATATTGCAAAGGCCCTTCAAGCATGGTTAAAGGCCATTGGAATGCTTTGACAAGGGCTGCGAAAGCCCTCAGTCCTCTGGGACCCGAGCTGAGCTGGCAGCAGGTGGTCGACTACAGCTTCCTATCTGACTTCGACCTTCTCTGTGACCCCGCCATGATCATGGTGGTGAGAGAGTGGGGCACACCAGCTGCCTGGGAACTCCTGGACTCATACTTCTGGATCGAGCATGCAAAGGAGGAGATTATTTACCTCGATGTGGAGATCTGTCATCTGGTGACGCACATTTGCGACGAGAGGGTGTTTCTCTTGAAAAAGGAGGCCGAGATCCGGGAGACAAACCCTGTGCTGGCCTTCTTTGTGGGGAGATACCAACAGGAGAATGGGAGATTTGATGCCAGCCACCTCAAATGTTTCGCTCGATTCACTACCAAGATCAGCCCCAGGTTTACAGCTGATCTCACACCTGGTGTTGCCTTGGAACCAAAGGATTCGGTGGTGGAGCCCAGGTTGGAAGAGCCCTGTGACATCGAGGCTGAGGCAGAGAGGGAAGTGCAGGATGCCTGGCAGACAGAGAAGGTTAGACTGCAGCTGGAGAGTGAGATGTCGGTTGATACTGATGTGGAGGATGATGAGGGAGAGGAGGCAGAGGAGCAGAGAGCATCTGAGACTACGGAGAACATCCTGCTGATCTCAGGGGATGATGATGAGGAGAAGGGGGAATAGTGTACCGAGTTGTGTAGTGGTTTCGAAGAGGCGCCCACTGCCAAGAAGTCAAAGAAGGCTGCCGCGTCTGCCACCAAGGCTACAAAGCCGGCCGCCTGTGCCACATCCACCACTGCTGCCACGGCCAAGCCCAAGAAGAAAAGCAGGGGGGAAAGCCGCCTCAAGTGCACTCCCAGTAGGGATGCACTCAAATGTGGCACATGGTAACAACAACGACAGCTCCAACAGCTCCAACACTGATGCTGCCACCTACAAGCCCCCAAAGGCGGCAGCAGCAGCAGCATTGGTATCATCTTCCAACTCGGACTTGGACTCAGACTGATTATGCTCCCCCACCCCTTCAACTTGGACAGCGCCTTTTTTAAAAATTGATCTACATATTCCTACAACTTGTATTTTATATATCAATGCCAAGATTTTGTGTGGCAGCCATGGCTAGATGTCTGAAATTTTGACAAGTCCACTTGCATGTATGGCAGGGGTGGCACCAACAGCAAGGCCATAGATCTGGTGGCAGTCGCGGCAGCTCTGTGGTGGAGAGACTGGCAGGGGCAGTCGGTGTGGCAGTGGTGGCACTGTCGACCACAAACCACACAAGTCCACTTGGTAGTATGGCAGGTGTGGCAGCTCAAACCCAGTCACAATCTTGACTGACTGCGCCCAGGGTATGCATGGCAGGTGTGGCACATAAGCTGGGTCACAAACTGTACTGACCTCAATTTAGTAGACCTGTGGCAAGCATGGCACATAAACTGGGTCACAAACTGTACTGACCCCAATTCGGTAGACCTGTGGCAGGTGTGGCATGAATGCCAGATCACAAAATCATTACTGACCAGGTATTGTAAACGGCGGCAGTGGTGGAATTTTGAACCAGTCACAAAGGTTACTGACCCTCTTACATTTACGTGGCAGGTGCAGCATGGGGGTAAGAAAAGTGATGCATTGGGTAGTCACTGACTTTTTGGGGGGTCACTTTTTATGTTTTTATTTTTCACCCAAAAGTATTGGTGGCAGCCGTGGTAGGTGTACAATGCCTAAATAGTCACAAAAGTCACTGACTTTCCCCGCCCCCCCCAAAAAAAATGGTGTGGAAATGGCGGCAGAATCGATTTTTTCTCCCTGGGCCTGCCATGGCAGTGATCCACCCACATGGCACAATGGCAACCCAAAACTGCCTCTAATTGGAGGGAGGTACACCACATCAACCTCCCTCCAACTAGAGGTGATATGTGGTATTATCAGGTGGCATTGGTGCATGCCTGCAAATACTACCCGAGCATTCAATTTGAATATGCAGGATGCGCCGGTTCGAATCGGGCTTGACCATGAGGTCGAATTTGCGTTTTTTTTTTGCTTCTGCCACGAGTTGCAACCTCTGGCAGTGAGAGACCAGGATATTCATATGAAGAGGGCACAGGACTATTTACTTTGTCGCTGTGCGTGTGCGTGTGTCCCGAAGTCCACTTCATTTCAACCAACAGGAATTTGAATTGAAACCTTTCGATATCCGAGTATCAGGATTATTAGATGTCGGTTTAATGGTGCAGTGGTGCACGCCTGCGAAAGTCGCCTGCCAAGTATGGTTATATCAGCAGCAATCGCCTGTTCGACTCGGGCTTGAACCATGCGGCAAAACAAACAATGTTTTTGGTTTGTCGACATTAATTTTTGAAAACCACTGGCAATGCCAAGCGCAGTTTAAACATATTCAAAGTCCAGGGTGGATGGGCGAGTAACAGTTCAAGTGACTGTCCATGTCTGTTGACTTGAGGCTGGGACAAGGCTGTGGGTATCCGAGAAATCCAGAATAAGGCATATCGGTTCAATGGTGCAGAGGTTAGCTAGCACACCTGCTAAGTTTAGGGCTGCGATCACCGGCACCAGTTTCAGCAGGAGCCGCCTGTTCGACTCAGGCTTGGACCATGATTCTTTTTTTTTTCTTTCTCTCTGAGGTTTGTCCTTCCGATCCCGAATGGTTTCTTTAGCTTAGGCCCGGAATTTGTGGGGGTATGTGCGCGAAAGGAAGCATACAGAACAGATGCACATATCGATGCCGAACTAGCCAAACTCGACCAAAGTGCTCTCTCTTCTGAGGCTGTCTTCTCTTCCGTGACGACGCGTCTTCGCGGCTAGTACGTTTTCGCCGGATGCGTTGATTCTTTGAGTTCTTTTTTTCTTTCTTTTAGGATTCTTGTCCCTACTCCCTGCGCCAGATCACGCATCTCATTGCGCTCCTCATCCATCGCGACCCTGCTCTGTCATAGGCACACCGCCGCCCTAACTGTGTTCTAGAATCGCACTGATCCAACGTGGCGACGCGTCACCACGTCCGTCCTCGCGGGTCGACTAGCCCTAGATCCCCTGAACGCACATTCCAGTGCGTCCTGCCACTCCTCCTCATCTTAGAACCAGACAACACGCTTCTCTTGCAGTGCATGTCGGTATGCCTCACTCGTTCGTTCTCAATCCCACGCGTCCATCAGTACGTATCGCCCCGGGTACTCTCAGCCTCAGCGCTTCATCGGTAATTAGCGCCCCGTTCCATTCACCACTCACACTGCCCGCAGCACCCGCGTTTTGGCCGCCTCATGACCTAATCCCCCAGTGATCATTGACAAAACAGGCAGCTCGGCTTGCGAAAACACCGAAAAATCGCCTGCGAAACCGAGCTATTTTTGTCCAGAGAAGACACCCATAAAATGGCGTCAATTCTCGAAACAGGCTATCGGAGGAATGATTCCCTGCTGAATCTCATTATAGCCTCCCACGCTGTAATTGGGTGGAGTCTGATGCAGTGCACGTCTGATGTCGGACAAGCCTGGGATTTCCAGAATTGGTCAAGTAAGCGCCGATCTACATCCTCTCCTCCACATCAGCATGAGCTCGGGGCACCCCCACGTCCCAACTGCGAATACCTGCCAGAATTGCGACAAACATCTTCGAATAGTTCACTCTGTCACACTCCGCTGCGACCGTTGCCTTCCTGATGATACGCCTGCGATGAAAACGTGTGTGTGTCATCTGGCCAGATATTGCGTCAGTAAACCACTTGTCTACGGCCTTTCACTCCGCTGATATCTCGCTCAAGAGCGCGCAGTGCCAGACAAATGACTGGGAAGCACACCGGATCGCTTGCCGAACCGCAAGCAAAAACAGCCAGTTTGCACGTAGACTTGGGGTGGAAGCACGGCAGCGTAACTTCGTTGACTGGTGCAAACATTCGAGGGACCAATTCCATTTCCCAGCCCTATGGGCTCTTGGGGCGGGGACTGACGCCGATAGAACAGGTGAGCTGCAAACTATACAGACTTTTTCTGAAGACTCAGAGAAAATTTTGTCTCCAGCAACGCACTTCTTCGTCATCTATGTCGACGTGGACGAGGAAATCTCTACTGACAAAGTCCTCTTTCAACGTCGGGTCAGAACCGCCAAATGCGCCTCGGAAGCTGAGTTGGAGCAAGAGTTTGCTGGCAGATACTCCAGTGAGTGGAAGGTCCCACAGGCTGCTCCATTGTGTGCTAGGATTTGGCTTGTAGACGACGGGCTTCCATTCGGCCTCGAGAGTGTCGACCAGGTTGCGGAAATGATTGGCATTGTCAAGGTCCGCTCGCAGGTATTCCCTGGCATGGAGTGCGACTGGCTTGCTCATTTGGAGGAATCCGTTGCCGTGGGTGCTGAAATACCATCCAACAAATACATCCACAGGCCAGGCAGTACTCTGGCCATCGACAAACTGCGATATGCTCATGCAGAGCGGTGGAAAGCCTCCTACAGGGAGCAGTTTGCCATGGGTGCCCATAGCGCACTAGATGTTGCTCGACATCCAAATCGGATCGGTATGCGGCCAGTGTTTGTTCACCTTCCACTAGCTAATTTGCGAATTAACAGTGACTAACTGCCTTGTCGTCCACGTAGATGTTGAGGAAGCACGACAGGGGATGTTCGGAAAGAACACCATTCGAGATGCCAAGATGTTGTCCCTGGCTGAACTCGGCCTTTGTTTCATTGCGACGTCCTTGGACAGGGCTCGTCCCACATGAGGGAGACGCTCTTCCCTCAACCTAACATGCTCCGAGTGCTCATCATTGATGATTCCCTCCCTTTCCCGCACAATATTCAGGCTCTAGCAATGGATATGAACAAAGTCCCCAATCCTAGGACTTTATACACTTATTTCTCGGGCTGGCTCGCAAGGCTGAAGAGAATAGTTGAGAACTGAAGTTTGTTAGGTCAGCTCTACATTCTTACTCAGAGAAATCTCCTGATATGAGTATCCGAGATATCAATATCACGGAAATCCAAGTCATAATATCAAGATTATTGAGTATCCGAGTCGGTTCAATGGTGCAATGGGCATTCCTGCTAAATTTGAGCCAATTAATTTGAATCATCGTCTGCATTAGTAGGAAGTGCCCGTTCGACTCGGCATGTTGATGATAGTTCAGTGCTTTTTAAAAAATTACCGAGTCATCAACCATAAAACATCTACCATGTACCGAGGCATGGAGAATAAAGGTTATCGGTTCGGTGTTGCAATGCCGCACGCTTGCTGAGTTTGGGCCGTTGGACCATCGTCTGCATCAGCAGGATGGGCCCGTTCGACTAGGGCTTGGACCATGAAGGAGCGATGCCTGCTTTTTTGGCCAGCTTTCGGCTTTTTGAAAATTATATACACTTGACCGGATTCGAAGCTTCTCACGGCAGGCAAAACCGGGAGATGCCTAGTTGGTCCGTAATGTGGGAGCTAAGAAATTGGTGGGTGCGAATTCATCCGAGTGGCCCTATCCGGCCGCTGGTTGGAATATTCCAACTCGTATTCCAGTAGCAAGATTATTAGATATTGGTTCACTAGTGCACGGTGCACGTCTGCTTTCGCTTCTCTTCCCCAATGCATAGTTGCAGGAGGTGCCTGTTCGACTCGGGCTTGAACCATGGGCGAGTGATTCTGATTTTTTGACTGCATTCGGGTCGCACGGCCGCTGGTTGGAATATTCCAACTCGTATTCCAGTAGCAAGATTATTAGATATTGGTTCAATAGTGCACGGTGCACGTCTGCTTTCGCTTCTCTTCCCCAATGCATAGTTGCAGGAGGTGCCCGTTTGACTCGGGCTTGGACCATGGGCGAGTGATTCTGATTTTTTGACTGCATTCGGGTCGCAACCCTGTGAAGGTGAGAGTAGTATCAGGTATAAGGATATTCATATAAAGAGCGCATATACAAGTAGTTTCTACATTGTAACCCTTTCCGGTCCAGTTAGATAATCCAGTGCATTCAGCCAAAGCTCGAAGTCACGCGAGTGCATGGCCGCCAAGAACTATTGGATATGCGAGTATCAATTATATTATAATTAGACATCGGTTCCATGGTGCAGGAGTGAGTAATACCTTTGTATATACCCACCGGTGTAGCACCATGAAACCCCGTTCGACCCGAGCTTGGACCGTGGCACTGGCATCCAGACCCTTTTTTTTGCCGATATTCTTTCTTCTGAAGATTATATGGCTCCAGACTGCTTCATCAGGAAAATGTTTCACGTCTGGTTGATCTGACATCAGATCAATCAGACGCGCCACACCACTAGAATTAGATCTGGTAACATAATAACTTGCGGCGTCTCAGAATACGTTCTGGCTGCTAGACGAACTAAGAGCCGCTTCTGGTATCAGATTCTACGCCAGAATTTCATTGCCAGTTCTTTCCATATTTCTTCAGAACTGGCTCAAAAACAGCACAATTTTGGCGCAGTTGAATGCATATTTGATTTCGACCGTCTACGAATATACAGGCGGTTACATATGAAGCGGGAGTGTTGAAACTCGATACTAGTAGGTTAAAAAAACGAAACACTATTACACGTCTGGATCAGAGGTCGTCAGCGGAGCGTCTAAGAGAAGTGCGATAATTTTACCATCATCAGAGCCATCAGAATCCGAGACAATGATGAGCGTACGGGGATCCTCGTAGGGGCCCTCACTAGATTCGTCACCCTCCCCCGTCGTGCTCTCGCCCGTGTTTTCCTTCTGGTAATGCGCAGTAGCCCAGTACCAAATGGCTTCCCATTTCGTCTGCGAGAGCTTCTTGATCTGCGGCAGGTATCCAGCGGCCCGGGTAGCCCATGGAGAAGCGACGAAGCTCTGCGCGGAGCGTTTGCCGCGGCGTTCGACCCCGTCCCCCGCGAGTTTGCCTTCACGGTGCAACTTGTAGGCTCGTTCCAGCTGCGTGATCATTAGCTCGTGAGGGTGTTCCGACAAAGTACAACGTACGGCTGCGCAGCTGATGGCCAGGGCACCAACAGGGTGCCCGTATTCCGCCTCGGTTTTGTTCGCAACTTTGCAATGAGACGACATGGTGCGGTAGATAGCCTCTGATCGAAAAGCTCCGACCTGGATTAATAGAGGTCAGTAGATTCCAAATGTATGACCAACAATACCTTTTCGACAGGGTCCTGGTAAATGAACGCGAAGTCTTCCAACTGAGTGGCCACATGTGTTCTTCTGCCTTCGAGTGTGGCTACTTTTAAGAGCTGGTCAGCGACAACCTTTACTCCAATCTTCCCGAGATTGCTTCGCCAGGTGCGTATAGCAGAGGATGCCTCAAATGATGTAAATGAATGACCAATCAGG